CTGGATTGACATTTTCCGGCAGTTACTATCAGCGCCCGCACGCCGCAAAAAATGTCCAAGATGAAAAGGGAAGAGCTGCTCTTACCTCTCCATAAGGGACAATGACGTAAAACGAGGACAATGACGACTCGAACCGCTCGGATTTGATACGATGATCCCGAGTCTCGGGTGTCCCTCGGAGCCAATCGTGTTTACAGCTAGTCGGGTAAACGGACATTCGCACGAAACGAGATCGCGACGCGACGCAACGCGATGCGATGTGACGCGATGCGATGCGATGCGATGCGATGCGATGCGATGCGATGCGAAACGATACCAGTTTACGAACGTAAACCAATGAAACGTTTCGGCTTCGCCTTGGGGCTTCCTTAAATGAACGCACGTGCGCCGCGCGACGACGTCAGCGCACTGGAAATTTCATTTCACATTCGACAAGGATGAAATTTCGGATGCAGATTAGTTTCTTGTGCAACTGAAGCCGCCGCCGCCGCCGTCGCCGCCGCCGTCGCCGTCGCCGTCGCCGTCACAGCATGGCACGGCACAACGACGCAAGCGACCGGGGCAGCTCGGAGTACCGCAGGAATTACAACCGCCATAATGCTCGCGCTGTAAAAACCATTTGCTCATATCCGCACGCAGCTACGCTCCACGCCATGTTACTTTACATACGTGAATCACATTACAGCATCAGCGATACGTGCCGGTGAATCTTTCTTTTTTCTCCCTTTTTTCTTCTTTTTCCCCTTTTTTTCTTTTAAAGATTCATGTAACCGGCACTTGTCGGGAATAATTTAATTCCACGTAACAAAGCGCTTGCGCGCGAAACGCGTTCCCAGTGGTTGTACGAGAGACACCGTCGGTTCACCGTCAGATATAGAGGGACGCTCGCGGATAATCAGATAGGATAATCGAGAGGAGGCTGAATTTATCACGGCAAGATTGGCCGTTGCTCCGATCGCGACGCCCGCGTTGGCGTTCGAATTGTGGACGCATTTATCATGCGACCGCGGCATAGTTTAATTTCCAACTGTGTGCATCTAAAAGTTCCGCAATTAGGAAGATCTGAATTTTATGCGTTTAAATGAACTCATTAGAAGGGGAAACTTGGCCGGGCTCGGGAAATTTTAGATTAAATTTCGAATTGTTATATCGCGCGAAATATTCATGGTATATAACGATTTTATGCAATTTCTTCCCGGCCTCTGTCGAATCCCGCGATCAACCCCATCGCGCGAGCGCAAGTTGACTAAACATTTCACGCAGATGGAAGAATAGTACAAGAGTGCATTCACAACGTGATAAATCACAGCTCATAGTTAAAACTGCGCGTCAAGTCTCTTCCGCATATTTACGAGCAGATAATATATTATTGCAACACGACGAAACGTAATAATCGTCGAAGCGCGACGCGCCTTCCACCGACCGCCTGTTCCCATTCAATTACGAGACGCCGGTAATAATCGTGTGTTTCGGCCGAAAGTGTCATGTATACTTGCACGATAAATGTTACAATGGCTCGGTCGTAAATTACCGAACTCAGGTGTACACGACTGGGCTTAGCTCGGCGCGTCTGACTAATCACGGACTGTAACCACTGAGGTTACTCTAATACTTCAGAGATCCCCAATAATTTGCGTCCGGCCGAACGTGGCGTCCCTTCGTTACCCACCCACGCACGTACGCACACACACACACACACACACACAACATCCGCGACTCTTCGCCGTTTCTAATGAGAAATTCCCGGTCGTTCGTTGACAAAGTCGACAAAGCTGGTGCAAAGTCGTCGGAGATATATTATTTATTGCAGATAATCGCGGCGGAGAGGGAGGGGGGAGAAGGAAGGCAGCTCCCCGGTGACGCGTGGGATCTTATTCGAGTCACGTCGTGTCCTTCTTCTTCTTCGTACCCGAGCGAATGTAAAGCAGTGCAGCGCGAGCGTTTCTCGCTTATACTGAGCGACGCGCCATGGCGAACGAGGGGTGGACGCGAGTCGAGCGGACGGGAAGAGTTTCCGCTGAAAATTCGCGCGGGGTACACAAAGGATGCGCCGTAAGACAAAGAGCCGCGGCGTCTTCATTCCGGTTTCAAATTGTCGTCCTAAACCCGCGTAAAATAATACGACCCGTCCTCCAAGCCAAGGCGGCTGCGCAGCAACGGGGCGCTGTATCTGTCGGGGAAGAATCGCCTTGTATACGTCTAATTACTCGATGGCATTGTTTGCGCGGCGCGCTCGTCGCTTGCCAGGCCGTCTTTTCATGCGCCCGGGCTCTTGTTAGTCGAAATCCAAACTCGATATTACTTCGGCCCGTGTGTATCGAGTAAACGACGAAATCCGCTTTGAATAAAGTCACGTCGCCCGTGGTATATGAGCGCGGCGGCGGCGGCGGCCCTTCGTACGGCGGACGGCCGTATCGTAAGTGTTAACAACGGGATATCGTAAGTGTGCACAGCGGGATAAGCCGCGGTTATTTCTTTACCGTTCGTTCCCCTCGCCGAGCGAATATCCCCCGATAACGGGCTATCTGCATACGGCCGATTACTCTCATTTTCGGCGTCTTTTCTCCGAGCGATGTCTCTCGCGTCTCACAAATCTCTCACGGCTTTACCGCGATCGCTCGCCCGCAGACGAGTCGCCCACGACAGTTGCAAATTTCGCGAGATCAAGCGAGCGAGGAGAAGAAAGAACACCCCAGGAAAGAGCTCGCGAAGCTTGGACGGGCGGGCGGGGGTGGACGCTCCGTCAACTTCGCGACGGCGAGTTTTATCGTCTCGCCCCTTCGCGCTCGTCACACATTCGAAAGTTGCCGGGCAAGGTCGTGGCTATTGCTCGTCGCGACCGAGCGGAAGGGCTCGCCGCCGGTACTGTGCAACTCGAGAATCTCGCTTCCTGAGCGTCGCGCGCGCGCTCACACAATGACGGATACACTTCGCTCTTGACGTTGCGTGCGCGCTGCGGACGATAAATGTGCTCAACTTCCGTCGTTTCCCAACTTTCACGCTCGCGCGCGCGCGACGACTCTTCTTTCTCGGCGGTAACCGCGTGTGGAGACGCTGGCGCGACTTGGCGCGTTCAGAGGCCGGCCAGCCGCGCGCGAAGGAGAGCGCTCGAGTGTGTCCGATTGGATCCTTTGGCGCGTACTCGCGAGGAAGCGAACGCGTGGAGGCGACCGGATGAACCGCCGGAGCGTCTCCGTGCCGCGCGATCGATTCGGTCTCGAGAGCGAAAGGGGACGACGGATGAGCGCCGCCGCCGCTGTCGCCGCCGCTTATTGTAAGCGCAAACGCAAGAAGGTCGATATGATTGTCACATCAATTTAATGTTATGATTCGAAGTGTCTAACAAGTCCCGCTAGCTATGCAGCGTCCCGTAATGGAGTTATCAGTGTGCCGCTGCATAAGGGAAACTTGCCTGATTGGCGTTTAACGTGCGCTACGCTCGCCAACCGGGTCGCCAAGGGCGACGTTATTGTCGCGCGCGCGCGAACGCTCTACACTTTTCGAGCGCGCGTCTCCCTTTAACCGCGATTCTTGCGCCTCGACATGCGACGTGATTGATCGCCATCGTCGTCGTCGCGGCACCGCGTTGGGGGTTTGGCCCAAGATCCCTCCCAACCCTTTTCATCCCCGATCAATCGCGCTCGCCGCGAAAAATCGGCCGAATGTTACGACTGCCTTAGCGAGACGCGTCTCGATTTATCGCGGCCGAGATCTCGACGTATCGTAACGTCCGATGACGATCTTTACACCGCTCGCAGGATTCTCCTCGCTCTCAGCTCTCCGGCTCTCAGCGAAGAAATATTCCAGAGAAACTTCGTCGCCACTTAGGCTCGCGGGAGAGTAGATCACACGCGGGCGAGGAGGACGATCGTCTTATTTCCCGCGCGCGCCTCCCATTCGCGCGATTCCTCGTTTCTTGATGTTTGATGTAATATCGCGGAAACAAACGGGCCGTCATCACCCTTCTCTCTCCCTCCCTCCCCCCCTCCACCTTCTCCTCCTCCTCCGTCACTACCCCAATATAACCGGAAGCGGACGCGGGTGCGCGGTTTGATCTGTACGCGAAGTCTAGATGAAAGGATAAGGAATATCCCTGCGGAATACCGTCACAGACGCTGACACGACTTTAATGTGCTCCCGTGTCAGTAATATATTCCCCCCTTGCGCGCCGCCCCCTTCGCGCTCGCGCTCTCGCGCATCTACTTTATTATTTTGATTTTCTCCGCAGCCGCGCGAGCGCGAACACGTCCGAGGCCAATAACGTCATGGCCACGGCGCGCGGCGCGCGTTTGGTCGAGATTAATGCTTAGAGAATCCTGTCGGTTATTTGCATATCGGCGATCAAACCGTTACTCGCCGTCGTAATAGATAATTTGAATAGAATCGATCGACGATGGGGTCCCCCCCCGTCCCCGCCTCCCGTAAGTGCAATCCAGACTGTATTCGTTATTCAGCAGCGTGCTCGAGAGCGCGCGGTCTCTTTCCTTGTAATTGCGTTGATTTCATTTCCGACTGTCGAGTACGAGAATACGATGAATTCATTTAATTGTGTGCGTCGATAATTTATACGCGAGCCGTCAAAAAGATACGCGGAGGATAGACTGCGTTTATAATTAACTGACACGTTGTGTTCAATTACGGTTCTCGTTAAATAATATTTTTTTCCGCGAATTATACGGTACATTTGGCATGTATAAGCGATATTCTATTAATCACATCGCACAATGTGAAGGGCTTCGATATGTTCACCTTGTCGAAAACGATAATCCTTCGACGGATGGCGATTTATACGAGTGCTCATTATGCGCGGTGTTGCGTTTTCAAAAGAGAGCGACGCAAGGCAAAGAGATGGGGAGAGGGAGGTGGAGAAAGTATTATTATACCACACATACCACACATACACATGTACATACATATATAGATGTGCGAGAAAAAAGTGAGAAAATGCAAAAACTACTCGCTGCGCAACGCGCACACAATAATAACGCTCCATGTTGCAGCTGGATCCATGATTGCGTCAAAATGGTGGATCGGCAAAAGGCACTACTGATGGTGTTACTGGCACTGTTGATTTACCCAAACGACATCTTCGGTAAGTATCCTTGAAATTGTTTCAGACCGACCGATCGATTGGCCGTATATTAATCGTGTCAATCCGAGGATCGTGCAAATGACGCTAACGCGAAGTAATCGCACTCGATTTTTAGATACATTTTTCTTCAACGGAATCCGGAGCACCGCAAGTCGTTACAATTTTGAGTTACTGCTGACGGCTATGCGCGGCAATTTTAACAGAAGCCAAATTTTGACAGTACACGATATAGAAATATTGCTTTTTTATTATATTCTAATCTGATAGATGAGAATGCAATAAAGATCTCCTGACGTATTCCTATATTCTCCGTGGCAATTGCCACGAAGAATATCTCTATATTGTCACTTTGGTACTTGATCCCACAAGCTCATGATACGCGTCTGACCGTATCAGGAAAAATGTGTCCAAACTGTCCTGCGACTGAGTGTGCGGCAAGCATACGGGACTCTTCATAAAAAACAAGATTAATTCAGCGAAATCCTTACGAGCGAGTACGAAACTCTCCAACTGATCCACGCGATATTAGGACTACCGGTAGAGAGGGGAGAGAGAGAGAGAGAGAGAGAGAGAGAGAGAGAGAGAGAGAGAGGAGAGAGAGAGAGAGAGAAGAGAGAGAGAGAGAGAGAGAGAGAGAGAGAGAGAGAGAGAGAGAGAGAGAGAGAGAGAGAGAGAGAGAGAGAGAGAGGAGATACCTATCGCGTCACGCGAGCGTTCGCGTTTGCAGATTTCGAGAGTCGTCGAACCCGATGAATACGAGAGGCCACGAGATATATATCTCGCTGTGTACGGGCAATTTTGCAACTAAGCCGCTCGGTGCGCACGACCACCTGTAAATACAATACCGGAACTAATCCGCTTTTGAAACGCACACTCGTACGGCACGACATACGGCGATATTGGCCTTACGACCTTCCGCCCTCTCAGTGAGATATTACTTTTTGTGAATACCGACGCGTGCTGCGCGGATAAAAAGCGGATAATTCGGCGTTTCGGCTTTTAAAACACGCCGCATTATCGTTCATTTCGCGCTCTTACCGTTCGTATATGTAAATAAAGCCGTGTCTACTCCGCTGCGCGACGCGGCGATTTCGCTGGAATATCGGTGAAATTATCCGCACTTAACGCGACGTGGCCGCGCGATGTGAAAGGAAAACTTCGAGTTTTTCTTAGCGCGCCACTTCGACCGATGGATGCGGCAGGAAGGGAGGGGGTAAAGGGGGCGGAGATTCATTTGATATTGGAATTTAAAAGGCTCCCCACGTGGATTAAGCTTTCGACAATGCAAATGGGTTTTCAATTCGTTTCAAGTGTGGTTTATTTCGGAAATAGAAATAAAGCAATTTTAATGGAGACGCGTATCAGAGTATCTCGTTTTATGTTTACATATTCGAGCATCGATACAATAGAAGCTAATTAACAAACCGATAAATCGGGATTATTTCGGCTATCATATTAATCAACCATTAATATGGCCATATACGTAATAATTAATTACTACATAAACTTACATATACACACACATATATACACGTGCCATCACGATACCGATGTTAACGCTCTTTGAATTATAAACAAGCGACGAGATTTCTAATCAATACGACGGTAGAATCGAATGCGGTAGACAACAAATAAATTATGCGGCAGCGGAACGGAAGAATTTCAGCGAGCCAGCTTCGCCGACGCAAGCATCTAAATATCGAATATAAAGTTATACCGCATTCTCGACTATCTCGCTGAAGAGCTAAATAGACAGCGCGGACGCTTCAACGCTACAAGCACGAGTGTCCGCGGAAGACGATAAAAGATTATGATTTTAATAAAAAGTGCAGATGCGCAGAGAGAGAGAGAGAGAGAGAGAGAGAGAGAGAGAGCAACGCGCGACGTGATGAGGGGGAATGCGAACGTGACAGAGGAGGCAGCGGGGGGGAGGGGCGGGGAGGAGGCTGACTGCGAAAAGAGATGGGGGATGGATATTATAGTTTGACGTAGACAAGAAAATTTCGCAAACTATCAAGGTTTTATCGCTTCCGCCAGTCGCGCATTCGCATGATAATTTCCATCGAGGCGAAACGTCTTCATAACGGGTGAATGGCATTTGATTACTGACGTCACTCAATTTCAGCCGACCACCCCCATCCTCGCTCCGTTACTCGATTCCCATCGCCCCTCCCCCGACCCGTTTGCTCTCTCGCGCGCGCGCAGCGACGGGTAAATAAGATTTCCTAGAGGAAAACTAGCGCGTCTGGGATATTCTTTGCGGATCCGTTTCACGCGAGCTGGGACTCGCCGTGACACCTGCACCCGATACGCATTGCCTTAACGACCGAGCATTCTTCCGCTCTCTTTGTAAATTGGCCAATTTGCATCACGGGCCCTGTCGATGCGAACAGTCGTCGCGCGGGGGAGTCCCTGTTAGTCCTTTAGGCTACCGCTCAACCCTTCCGCGCGCCCGAAAGCTCGCACTCCGACTCACGGCTCTCTGTAATTCTCGTTTGCGCTCGCGCGATATGTGACGTAAGGAGAACTACGTACGCACATACACATACACATAGGTCGATCGGTTCGCGGTGGTTTCCCGGTGAATTTTCTGGACGCCAAAATAGCATCGCAGCGAGGGGCCAGAGAACTCCGGAAATTTGCAAAATTGGAATCGATAGTCCATCATGCGAGAGCCGATGATTCGTTTCATTCGACGAGTACCGCGTATGGTCGATACGAAACGCTGGTCGACGTGCGTTTATTAGGCCGAAAAATGAAATTTGATTATCCACACAGACCGCACTGCTCCGTTGCGATGCCGCTCGGGCTTCGATTTAACATCCGTCGCAACTTATAAATATTACCGGCACGAATCGACATGATTCTGGAGCGGCCATAAATAGCCGCTGTTCTTCAACCGGCGTGCTCATTTCTTTCACTTGAAAATCCACTCTCCTTCAGCGACGTGCCTCTCGCGTGAGAACGGCGAGGAGAAAGACCGAGTGCTTAAGCCAGCCAAACGTATTTCCAACGTACAAAAATGTCGGGCTCGTTAATCGTGCGAGCGGGGCGCGCTGTAGTTTTATAATTACAAATTAAATTACCTCCGAGTAACTCTCGGGCGTAATCTAGAGCGCTACTCGTCCCGCCGCTCTTTTCGTGTACCGTCCGCGAAATAAATATGACACGAGCGATCCGCTGACCCGGAGTCACGCTTGCATCGAATAGTTGCGGGACGAACCGCGTCCAAAACAAACCCAGAGGGGCACCGTAGGCGACACTGCAGCATCCGGATTGCGCGACTAGTCGTGGAGTAGTTGCGACACGCTCGAGTAGCCGCGAAACAATAATTACGAGCCGAACGAAGTGGCCGTCGCCGGCCGGGAAATGCGCGAGGCGTCCCATTGTATATCGAATATCGAGCGGTAAATGCGTGACGCTGAAAAGGATAAATAAGGAGCGGGACGTGAGGACTGCAGAGAAAGGAGGCAGCATCCGGCCAATCGGGCACTTCCGCTTATCGGCCGCTTAACGAAGGATGAATGGCGAAAGAGGAGGGGTCGGGGGTGTGGGGGATGGGCTATTCAGAGGCGTGCAAACGGAAGAATAAATTGAGTTGAATTAAACGAGCGCCACCTTTTGCGGCTGGCTTTTCTAAAGGCGAGCGATGTCATCGATGAAACAGCACCGCCGCGGATGCAAATTTCCCCTTATTTAGAAATTTTTTTCATTTAACCCCGGACACACGCCACTTTTCATAAACGCGGACTATCTCCCATCAAGTTCCCGAGCTGTTTTCTTTTTCTTTTTTCTTTCTTTCCTCTCCTCCGCACGAGAACTTTGCGCGAGAAAGTCGCGTTAAGAACAAGGCGCTCGGTATTAATACCAAACAGGGAAGTAAGAAGAGCGACGTTTAGCACCGCACACGACATCTCAGCATGCACGATCGAAATCACTTTTTTAACAAAACGATACTTTACTGGAACCATCGGAATGTCGCACGAACGTTCACGTCTCGTGCGAGGAAATCTTCCGTAGGTCGGCGTTCGTTTCAGAAACAACCGTTGGCGCCGCGCTGCGATTTCGAAAAGCGACGAACAAGAGGATTTCATAAACACGCGTCGATGTGACTCGTCTCTCTCTCTCTCTCTCTCTCTCTCTCTCTCTCTCTCTCTTTCTCTCTCCCCTCGCACTTATATGTCCTGATGAATTTAGCGGGCACAAGACACAAGGGCTCGTCGACAAAGCTCTCTCGCTTATGTTTTACATTACCGGTACCACTCTGTCGAATCGCGACAGAGCTCACGGACGTCCCTCGTTACGATAGGCAAAGCCGCTTTCGCGAGACAATCGGAAAACTGAGACCGGCAGAGAACGAGGTAGAGAAAGGGAAGAGACGCGAAAGAGAACGAAATGAAAAACGGGGCGAAAAAAGGAACGAACAAGAAAAAGAAGGGGAAAGAAAGAAAGAGAGAGAAAGAGGGTGAGAAAGAAAGAGGAAAGGAGTAGAGCAAAGTTTATCAAGACTCGGTAGTTCAGAACCGAGTTTAGAGTTTACAGTAATTTAAAGTAATAGGTGGTGTATTAAATGAAATGACGCTAAAAATTGCGAAAATTAAAAGTAATCGAATGCCAGTCCAATGCCTGAAGCATTACAAGACTCATATCAAATATATCATCGAGTACTTGGCGCATACAAGTATGTAGGCTGCTGGAAAAATTTCTGCAAACGATATGAAAAAAAAAAACATGTAAAATTCGGTAAATGGCTTTATTATTTTTCAAAGTATTCGCCTTTAAGATCGATATACTTTTGCATACGCTCGAACCAATTTTCGAATTCGCATTTTTTCCACTCTGAAGCTGTAACCGCAGAAACCAGTTTTCGGAATGCTTCAATAGTTGCTTCAGGCGGCACAAATCGCTGGCCACGCATTTTATGTTTGATGTTTGGGAACAAAAAGAAGTCATTAGGTGATAAATCAGGTGAATACGGACAATGAGTCATCAATTCGACA